TGACCATCCAGCCTCTGTTTAAAGACCTCCAAAGAAGGAGAATCCACCGCTCTCCAAAGCAGCGTCTTCCACTGTCGAACAGCAATGACTGTCAGGAAGTTCCTCCTAATTTTTAGCTGGAATCTCTTTTCCTCTAATATGAATCCATTACTCTGTGTCCTATTCTCTGGAGCAGCAGAAAACAAGCTTACACCATCCTCAATATGATATCTCTTAAAATATTTAAACAAAGCTATCCTTTTTGAACTGGATACAGAACTGGCCACAGCAATGACTGTCAGGAAGTTCCTCCTAATGTTGAGGTGGAATCTAATTTCCTGTAGCTTGCATCTGTTGTTCCGGGTCCTGTTTTCTGGAGCAGCAGAAAACAAGCTCCAGTTTCTCAACATCCTTTTTGAACTGGACATAGAACTGGACACAATAGTCCAGGTGAGGCCTGACCAAAGCAAAATAGGGTGGCATTATTATTTCCTGTGATCTAGATACTATACTTCTATTAATGCATCCTAAAATTGCATTGGCCTTTTTAGCTGCAGCATCACACTGTTGACTCATGTTCAACTTGTGGTCCACTAGGACTCCTAGATCCCTTTCACACTGAGTCTCGTTAAACCAGGTGTCCACCATCTTATATCTATGCATTTCATTTTTTTGCTCTAAGTGCAGTACCTTACATTTCTCTGTGTTGAAATTCATTTTGTTAGTTTTGGCCCAGCTTTCTAAACCATTAAGGTCATTTTGAATTTTCATCCTGTCTTCTGGGGGTATTAGCTATTCCTCCAAATTTGGTGTCATCTGCAAATTTGAGAAGCATGCCCCCTATTCTTTCATCCAAATCATTGGATCATTGATAAGCGGGATTCGAATCCTGGTCTCCAGTCGTACTCCAATCACTCAAACCACTACACTGGTATATAAAATGGCAACATCAAGGATTTGTGCCTTCAAGTCATTTCCAACTATTGGCAATCCTAAGGTGAACCTATCATGGGTTTTTTTTGCCAAGCTTCTTCAGTGGGGTTTTTGCCATTGCCATCCTGAGGCTGAGAAAGTGTGACTTGCCAAAGGTCATCCAGTGGGTTTCATGGCTGAGCTAGGATTTGAACCCTGGTCTCCAGAGTCATAGTCCATAGTTCAGATTTGAAGATTAGCTCAAACCCCAACACCATGCTGGCTCTGGTTGCAGGCTACACTACTAATAAAAGGCATTCAGAGTTTGGTTCAAAAATGGTCACTTCCCTTTCATTAAATTATTCAGCATATACTCTGGCCATTCAATTGTTCTTTCCAGTTTTACAACCAGGTAACAAGGCACACCTGCTGAAATTCCTTCTTATACACAACCATTAAAGGTACAGGAGCTTTCTCCACGCTTCACGCTGGCAACCCTGAATAAGAAAGGTAGAGGAAGGTAAAAAAATTAAAGTCCCAGTTACAGGTTGAGTCTCCTGTATAATAATAATAATAATAATAATAATAATAATAATAATAATAATAATAATAATAATATAAAATTAAATTTATTTATACCCCGCCCCTCTGTTCAAACAATCTGAAATGCATGAGACCAGAAGTGTTTTCAATTTCAGATTTCACCAAATTTTAGGATACAGTTGGCCCTCTGTATCCTCAGATTCTTTACCCATGGATTCAGCCATCCACAGCTTGAAAATATTTTTAAAAAGCTATATACATTTTTTAAAAAGCTATATAAATTCCAAAACACAAACCTTGATGTTGCCATTTTATATACGGGACACCAGCATAGTGGTTTGAGTATGACTCTGGGGATCAGAGTTCAAATCCCATTAATCCATAAAACCCACTGGGTGACCTTGACCAAGTCACACTTTCTCAGCCTCAGAGACTGGCAATAGCAAGCCCTCTCTGAATAAATTTGCCAATAAATACCCATGATGAGTTCTCCTTAGGAGTCACTATAAGTTGTAAACTACTTGAAGGCACACAACAAAAACAAAATTTTACTACCAAGAAAAAAGCAGGGTAGTAGCTGCGTCGGCCATTTAGCAAATTCAAACAAAAATCCACCAAACAGTGATACCTTTATTGGCCAACCAAAATGCACAATATACTTGTTGCAAGCTTTCGAAGCTCCACGGGCTTCTTCTTCATCAGGCAAGATGTTAAAATGCTAAATTGCTAAATGGCCAACACAGCTATCCATCCTTGCATGTTTCCAAATTGTGAGATACCACATTGCAGCTGCAACAGGGGAACCCTGAAGAGGGAGACAGTGGATTGGGACCTTAACCAAGGTAAAACAAAAAATAAAACAAAAATAAAATTATTCTTTAATTTGAACTGGATAGGCATGTTTTACCTCAATACCTACCAAAATGTTCCTGATGGAAAAACATGAAGGTTCCTTGAGGAATCCATTATCCTCTGCCTACAAAGAAGCCTGTGACCTATTAGGGATGGAGGCATATTGGATTGCAAGAGAGGGGTCTTTGGTGAGATGCAAATAGACTTTAAAATTCCTGGTCTTTGCAAATATCCCAATATCCACATGACCAGAAGGAGGAGGAGGGTCCAGCCTGCAAAAGATACCCTCCACTTACCATCTTAACTTAGGACAGAAACATCAAAATGTAGGCATCTGACTAACATCTCCAATTGTTTTTTCTCCTGTTTGGTTTGTAGCATCTTGCCTGATGAAGAAGAAGAAGCACGTGGAGCTTTGAAAGCTTGCAACAAGTATATTGTGCATTTTGGTTGGCCAATAAAGGTATCACTGTTTGGTGGATTTTTGTTTGAAAATTTTACTACGCCATTGTATTTAATGGGATTTGAGCATCCATGGATTTTGGTATCCTGTCCTGGACCCAAACCCCAGCGGATACCAAAGGCCCATTGTATTTGAAATGTTACATAATGAGATGTCTTGAAAATGGGACCCCAGACCAAA